CTGGAGGTCAAGAATCTGGCAAAGAGACCATACCATTCGTTTGCAGATTGCTTAAGTCCATAGAGACAACGGCTAAGTTTCCATACCTTGCCTTCGTCACCAAACCCAAGTAATAGTCGCATGTAAACTTCTTCTTTCAATTCGCCATAGAGGAAAGCAGATTTAACATCGAAATGTCGCGGTCGCCATTTGTTTTTAGCACATGTCGCGAGGAGGAAGCGGAGAGATTCATAACGTATGACGGGGGCAAAGGTCTCCTTGAAGTCGAAGCCAGGGATTTGTCCAAATCCTTTAGCGACAGCTCTTCCTCGATACCTTTCTAGTGTGCCATCAGTGTTTTTTTTAACTTTGTAGACCCACTTACTTTCGATTATTTTCCGTCCAATCGGTTTATCGACAACATCAAAGGTTCCACTCTTCTCGAGCGCCAGAATTTCATAGTCCATAGCCGAGGTCCACTGGTCATGGTAGGGGCTGTTTATAGCTTGGTGATAAGTAGTAGGATCCTCGTCGGGCATTTTGGTAGCATTTCTGCCATATCGAACTGGTGCTCTTGAAACTCGTCCAGACCGAGTCCTTGTTCCTTCTGCGGGTTCCGGAGGTTGTTCTGGTTCATCTGCAGGTGGTTCCAGAGTTGGAGAAAGAGGTGCGAGATTCTCATAGTCTTCTGGATATTCTGGTAGTAGAGGTGGATGTACTTCAACGTCTGGTAGTGGTAAAGGTTGGTCGTCGTCTTCCTTTTCTTGAGGCTGGTCGCGAGGGTGCGAGGCGGTCTGGAAAGAGGGAAGTGTAAGGGTCCCAAAGGTCTCTGATGTATGGGTCAGTTGTTTTGGATCCAACAGTCCAGTTGGGTCAAGTGGTAATATCGTCTTGGTTGTCCAATGGATTTGTCTGGTTTTGGAGATCCGATGTTGCGATGGTATATATATCCGGTATATTTTGTCGGAGGAGGTATAACCGACAAGATATCCTTCCAAGGCCCGGGGCTGCGGCTTCGTTCCAGGTTTTCTTTTCTCCTCTAGTATATGGATATAGCATTTGGTCTGGTATGGGCACAAGTGGTTGATCAATGGTTTTGTTTTATAGATAGCTTCATAGGGCGTTGAGTTTCCTATGGCTCAGTTAGGGAGTCGGTTGCTAATGTAGATGGCGGTGGAGACTGCTTCGGCCCAAAGGCTAAGAGTAAGTCCAGTCAACATAGAGCATGTCGATGTGATAATGGTACGGTTGTACCGTTCGGCAACACCATTAGATTCATGTGAGTAAGGAGGAGTCTTATCATGCACAATTCCATGCTTCTCAAACAGTGTAAGCATTTTGTCATTGATGTACTCGCCTCCGTTGTCAGTACGAAATCTTTTGATAATGGTAGAATCCTGAGTTGTCCTTTCATTAATGAACTGTTCGAACACTTTTACCATGTCAGACTTCGCTTTTATGGTGTAGATCCATGCATAGTGTGTATTGTCATCAATAAAGGTAACATAGTACTAGGAGTTGCCAAAGGAGGGTTTCGAAAATCATCTGCTAAGGTCGGAGTAAATTAATTGAAAGGGGTGTCACATCGTTTCTCTGTTGATTTGGGTTTTGACTTAGTTGACTTGCAGGTGATGCAGGTTTTGCATTGCCAGTCTTTTGGAACAGTAGGGATAGTGGGAGAGTCCGAGTAGTGGTCGGCTTTGAGGTATTGCGGCGATGGATATCTGAGGGCTTCATGCCACTCTTTGTAAGTTATCTTGTTCGCTGTTTCCTTTTCCTCTTGCACAACATAGTCCGGTCCGTCAAGCTTTCCCCATAGAACCTCTGTTTTATTTTCCCTAAAAACATACATATCCTTCCCAGAACTCTGCAAAGAAAAACTTTTTCCTAAAGAAATGATAGCGTGCCACGACAACAAGTTGCTAGAACTCAACTTAGGAACCCAAAGAACCTGTTGTAGAAAGACAGAGTATGTCTGGCCATCAGATGTTTTGGCCTTAAGCTCCACTGTTCCACGGCAGTATGATACAATTACCAAATCATTGCCTAACTTAACGGTGCCTTGTGAAGGTTTGAAGTTTATAAGAAGGTCTAGGTTCGAGGTCATATGGGAGCTTGTGCCTGTATCGATAACCCATTGATTCGAGTAAGCGGTCTTTTGCGTTGAAGGTGAGGAGGTAGAGGTACTGACCGGTTTGGACGTCTCTTCCTTTCCGATCTTAGCCGAGTGTCCGGCTTTGTCCTTCTTTCACTTCTCGTTGTCGGCCTTGAGCTTGTTACACTCATTCCAGGAGTGGCCTTCACTGTGAGCAGAGGGGTAGTGCTTTTTGCAGTAGGATCATTCCTTCGTTTCCACCGGTTGCCAGCGGATGGTATCCCGAGCCTTTCCCTTTCCTTTGACATCAGCGCTTTTATACGCCTTATCGTCCTCAGCATTAACCGAGGATTTCAAGTCCAACAATTTGTTGTAGACATGATTGTAGGTAAGTGTCACAAACTGTGACTAAGCAAGGTGGATTTCACAGACCTTGGACTTCCGAGTTATAGGTATGTTGGGATTTCACATGACGCACATTAGCGCACCATAGGTTATTATGTTTACTTGTTCGTGACTCACAGTTGTGAGTCACACGATGTTATGATTTTCACGCCTGACTCATACTTATGAGTCATGGGTTTCACTCAGGTGACACAAGTTGCGCACCTGACTTGGTTATTATGTTTTGATTGGTTTTAGGCGTATTGCGCAGCGACTCATAGGAGTCGTCTGATGGATTTCGCATGACTCATGGTTATGTATGAGTCACAGGGTTCGCGTGACGAGAGGTATGAGTCACGCCAGGTGAAGAGCTACTATATAAAGGGGTCACTAGGACCCTGAGTATGAGCTCTTCACACGTTCTTCTTGTTTATTTCCTACCTTTAAGTTATTATAAATAAAACCTACCTTTACACTCTTTAAGATTTATCTTAAGAAACCCAAGAATTGTCTTTCCTCCCACGAGGATAGATTAAGTCCTAAGTAAGGACTAAGGAGAAGAAGAAGGAGATAGATGCGAACAAGATAGTAGTCATAGGACTGGACTATCAGGATCGCGTAGGCACAGGCCTGAGAACTATCACTTTACATCAAGAGAAGTATCGTTACCTGTGGCTGGGTCCTACTTGGTAGGATTCTTAACAGTAAGGTCCTCCTTGGTTTGGAGGTTGTTGACAATGTTGCTCATCGACAGAGGCAGGGAATGGAGGAGAACGGCGGCTTTAGCTTCGGTTGACTCGCATACCGATTTAAAAACAAACTGTAGAGCATATCAGTCGGTTTTCGAAGCAGAGGAGCAACGATGTTGCATGCGATTCCATAGGGTATCGTACTTATTGATGTGGTCCGGCATAGGCTTGGATGTATCGTACTTGGAATCAAGGACCGCATTGAGCTGGTCAAAGAAGGTAGAGGTATTTGCATGAGCAAATTTATCTTCAAAGGCTTTCCAAATGGCGGGAGGTGTCTTGTATGTGGCCAACAAGGTAAGCCATTTTGCATCAATCGTTTCAAGGAAATAGGCCGAGGCCTACTGGTAATGATGGCAGAAAGAATCTTGAGCATCTTCATTGTTATCGGTTCCAGTAGTTGCTCCTGCTTCCAGTAATGTTTCTTCTCCTATTACTATGTCCCCACAATTGAATAAGGTGAGAACATATTCTGATACATCATGCCATGTTCTGTAGTTTTCTGGGCCTGTGAGCTTTGGGATTAAGCTCAGTTGATAGGCAGGTGCCCAGTCTCGCTTGGAGTTGGTGGAATGATTTTGCGGTGGTGGGTTGGCAGGGCCTGCGGGATCCATTGATGGAGGTGGAGGCGGTGCGCCAGGCTGTGATGCAGGTGGATCAGTAGGAGGAGGAGCCGGAGGGAATAGAGGTACTGGAGGGAGTGGAGGTTGCTTGAGTTCTTCTTCAGAGAGGTTGTCGTGTGGTGGAAATGGGGGATGAGGGAAGCCCCCGTGAGCTGATCCTTCAGCCAGAGTTGAAAATTCTAAGTAAAAATTATACGATCAAAGTTACAAACCACACACCCCCTAAATTCACCAGCACTTTGCCCTAATGGAAGCCTTGTATAGAGCAGGTAGCCTGAGTCCTACCAAACCCAATCGCCCATGGCTGTGTCCTTGCTGAGAGACTTCCAAAAGGTAAGTGTGCGACGAAGGGGTATGTGGAGGACCGGCAAGTGAGCCTGGGAGGAAAAAGAACAAGAGAGAGGAAAAGGGCGGTGGAACCCCTTATCATAGGGGTTGGTGCGGAGGCTTTTTGCCGTGCCGAGATTTTCGTTTGCTGAGACTTTTGCCGAGACTTTTTGTGGAGAATATTTTACTGGGAAATCTTCGTTTCATTTCGTACAGGAATGTTTTGTTTCATGGTTTTGTTTCAATGAAAGAAGATTAGGTGACGGTGAAACTTTTGCTGTACGAGCAGAAGTGCGTGAGTGTAAGTCGTATAGTTATAGAAGCACCGGGCTTATAACCTGTTCAAATGTGTACGGTACAGCAATATCTTAATAACTTTGTATGAAAATACGATACAGTAGAAGGAGTATACTGTGGGCAGCTAAGCGAGGAGGAGTTTTGTATGAAGGTAGATTGGTAGTAGTTCTTGTCCTTGATTTTCTTAAGCGAGATGGGTGGTAACTCCTATTTATACAGGTGCATATCCTTCGCGTAACTAAGAGGAAATATAAGGGAAAACATAAGTGTCAACGTGTTTGACCGTAACATAAGGAGGAGAAACATAAGTGCGAACGTGTTTGACCCTAAAGAACTGCCAAGGAAATCCCATGAAACATGCGTAAATCTAAGATGGTGTGAACGGATAATTAGAACCTAATTGTAAATCAAATGACCAATGACTGTGCATGATGATGCATAAAATGTAAGAAATAAACCCAAACACCAGATAAAAAAGTATGCCATAATCCCCTAATCGTGTCAAGAAATATCAATGAAATATACGTAATACATACTCCACTGTAGTAATGTCCGTGAACTAGAAATAATACTAAGTAGAGGAATATACGATATTATCAAGGAGAACATATATATGAAATGAATTAGAAAATTCAACAAACACAGGTACTGTTTTGAAGCTGTTAGTCGTACTCTAAATGATCTTTGTCAAGTAAATGATCAGTACATCTTTGGAAATATTCCTGTTATCTTAGGGGGTGACTTTGCACAAACTCTACCAGTTGTTCAACATGGATATCGAGCTGCCTTACTTAATTCTTGCCTGCAGCGCTCATCAATTTGGCCCCACCTTCAACAATTATGTTTCACACAAAATATGCGAGTATCCAGTAATCCTGTCAATGTAGAGTTTATCCCATTTCTGGCAACAATGTCCTATAATCCAAACCAATATAGTACACCCAAGGTTCCTGGCTTCATTCATCAATTACACAGTCTTTCTGCATTTTGTCAGCATATCTTTCCTCAAAAACTGATGGTTCAAGCAGTAGAAGATCATACAATATTAAAGTCAAGACCTATCTTATCATTTCGTAATGATACTGTTTCAGAATTTAATGAACTATTAATTCTGAACTTTCCAGGTGAACTTTTTACCTTTCATGCTATTAATACAGTTGATATTAATGAGTAGTCACCAGGAGTTGATCAACTTCCTGCTGAATATTTGCAAAGTATTCACCATGCCTCACTACCACCATCAAAATTGTGTCTGAAAATTGAAGTACCAGTCATACTACTGCAGAATCTTAGTCTAAAAGATGGCCTTTTAAATGGTACAAGATTAACTGTTACTCATATTGGACATTCACATATTAGAGTAAGAATAATGGAAGGAAAGTTCAGTGGTCAGGAGAGAATGTTACCAAGGATTAAAGTTACAACCCTGGAGAATGATTTGCTATTTATTCTGACAAGAAAACAATTTCCAATACGGCTTTGCTTTGCTATGACAGTTAATAAGGCACAAGAACAGTCTCTTTCTGTTGTTGGTGTTAATTTATGGACTTTAGCATTTTCCCATGAGTAGCTCTATGTATCACTTTCAAGAGTTACCTCAATTGTTGGAATTACAGTTCTCCTTCCTGATAATGAAGATAAAACAGAAAATATTGTATTTCCAGAAGTACTTCTTCATTAGCAGACAACTTCTTTTATTTTTATTTTCTAATCTGAATTGATTATGTCTTTCAAGCTTTAAAAATATAAAATAGATTACTCCTTTTAATAAATTTTATAACTCTTAGATAATACTGACTTAACATTGTACCTACAGAGTAGAACCCTCGAGGTCTCGAGGGAGGGACTCCTAGTATCAATTGATAATAAACCGATATATATTACAAATTATTAGTTTTATATTTTAAATTTCTAGATTATATCTCTGCTTCTGATACTACTAACTTTGTGTTTCCCATTCCTCATTATCATCTTGCTCATATCCAAATTCTTCATCCTTAATAGTTGATTCAGGACTTGAGAAATTATCATCGGAGTAATCAAAGAAGCAATCTGAGGACATTTCAATACAAGATATTGTAGATATCAAGTAATATAAGATTGTTTACAAACTATTATATTCTTATAAGTTAGACAATTTGAACTAATCATAAAGTATGGAAAATTAACAAGAAATATAAGTATATAATTACCAATAAGAAGTAGGTGCTATTAAAGGATATAATAGTAATGTTTGAATAAAAAAATATAAATAATTGTAGACTTAAGAATAATTACTCTATTAGTTATATAAAAATTTCATAATAACAATGTAATTGTAATAAAATACTATATCATTAAGATAGCACTTATTAGGTTATATAAGCTAGACACCTTATTGTACTACTATGTTGCAAAAGATTCTACATAACTTAAAAGTAAAATAGATCAATAACTAGTTGACATTTTGCTATTATTTTTAGTTTAATAGATGTGCAGGAAACTAAAGGTATTTTAGATGGCAAGAAGTATATATCTCAAAATTTGACATTTGTGACTATAAAATAAGCTATAAAGGTCATTAATGAATGAAACATATTTTCTGAACTGCTGTACATATAGTTTACATGCTTGACTAGGTAACTAGATCAAAATAAATTTGTGGTAGTTGAGGTCCAATAGTTACGTTTTAACTGGCACAGTCTCATATGGGTGCTGATATGCGAAAATTGGGTCAGACACCTTAAACCCAGTTTTGTGTAATTTCAGTTTTAAGTTTGCATAGCAACTAAGAAAAAGGTTGGAAAACATAAAAATATTGAGGCCCTGTTTGGCACGCCACCATAAAAAGAAATGCCATTTTTCATGAAAATGGCTTTAAAGCTGTCTTAAAAAAATGCCATTTTTTAGAAATAATGGTGTTTGGCAATGGTTTCTCATTTTTCAGGGTTTAGACCTATAATCAAAAAAAAATACTAAATAATAGGTTTAAATTAAGTAAACCTAAATTCTAGCACTCTTTTTATTATTATGACAAATCAGTGGCTTGGCCAAATTTTCTAAAAGTATATATTGAAAATATTCAACTCAGCTAAACTAGTATAATACACCTATCCCTTAAGTACCTTATGCTCATAGAGATACTCTTACCATCAGATATCTTCTTAGACATGCTCTGGCATACCTACCTAGTCTACTACTTAACATCAGAGTCACATACTAGTATATGAGCATAGACATAGGTTGCCATAGCTTATTATTGCAGGATTATTACATTGTACTCTTCATAAATCACTCTTGAACTAATTAGAATATTTACTAAAATCATATAGAAAAATTTGTTTTAATTATTATTATTCTCATAATACTTGTATTAGTCATATCATTACTCTTTTTATTCAATTTTATCTTTCTATTATACCCTAATTCCCTATATGTTTTACAAAAAAATGCCATAAAAAAAAACAATACTAAATTTGAAAAAATGCCATTTTAATATGCATGCCAAACATGCCTCCCTTTTTTTTTAAATTTGTGACGGAAAAATGGCATAAAAGTCAGAAAAAAGGCATTTTTCTGGCATGCCAAACAGGGCCTGAATGCTCTTACATGTAATCAGTATTACAAAATTCTTGATAGCACTCAATTCCACTACTAAAAATTGGTTGTAAATATTTTTCTGATTGCTGAAAACTCAGGCTACATATCTATGCAAAAAAGATAAAAGTGTGAAATCTGAAAAAATCTAATTCTGAGTCTATAAATGCATGAATTTTCTTGAAAAATATTTTTTAAGATCATTAGAAGGGGCTCTCTAAGCTCAAGAAGTATTGTATGTGTTGAGACAGGTTTGTTGCATTGGGAGAGTGGACCAATTTTCGCATATCAGCACCCATATATATTAATTATGGAATTGATTTTTTGATAATCACAGGAAAATATTTTTATATTATTTCAAAACACGTTTTGTAATAATGGTTGTAGCATGTTTACAAACAATCGCATGCCAAACCCCATTGTTATTATGAAACATGATTTGGCCCAAAACATGTTTTGAAATCACGATTATTTCAAATAATGGCATGCCAAACACCTCCCAAGTTGTGCCATGCCTCACTGAGGGTGCCGCCTCGCTGAGCCCTCCAACTGTTTAATTTCGCTCACACATCATTCCAAAACACCCTCATACAAATTGTATCGTGCATTCTAGGGCAGGCTCCTTCGACGTCAAAATTCCCCGCAGGCTAATCTGTCAAACAAAGTATGACCTACACAATCGCCCAACGTGACAGGTGAGAGAGGTCATTCAGAAACCAATTCCGGCATCAAAACTACTTAATAACATCAGTCAAACACGCCAAGAGACGTCTAACCTTGCATGAGTACCATATAGAGATATCACCCATCCTGCTATCTCTTCTCAAACGCGCACAATTTTTCAGGATCCAGCCCAAACCATCGTAGCACAATTATTTCCTTCGCCAGACCCCACCTCGGCACCTCCACAACAGGGCGATAACGCGAAGCTTTATTCCAGCAAAACACCATACTTCTGTTTTCACTTCCCCGGGCCAGTCCCGTCCCCACGCCATCCATGCCAATCCTTCCCTACCCAAACATCGATTCTAACCGGGAGGAAACTATTCAGACACTCCTACCACCCCCACCAAATAAGAACAATAATAAAGGATATATACACAATCAAACCCCCATCTTATTTTCCTATCTTAAGATCAATTTTACTGACAAGCCATGAAAGAGTGAAAAGGGTTAGAACACCAGTGAAGATCACGAACGGTTTTCTGTAGAGCGCCATGGTTGGGTAGTGATAGGTTACCTATGCCCAAGTGAGTTAGCACGAGTTTATGGTGACGACGGGAAGTAGCGGGTCTCACGATTAGCTCCTTCTTGTGCTGTTCATCTACCACATTAGCCGCCTTCATTTTGATAGCTATACGACCGCGAGTATCCATAAAGGTGTGGTGCAGGTATTCCTCTTCACTGATGAGAGGGATAGGGGGAGAGCATTTAACATCACTTAACGCACTTTCTGTCAGAGTTGGTAAAGCATAAGCCGAGCGAGGGTTACATACGTAGCCCCTTCGGGAAGGACAACAGTAATCTCCACCTCATCGTAAGTAATGCTATCCTTAGGGCCTTCTAAGAAAGGAACCTTAAGGACATATCTTTCCCCATCCTGACTGACTCTCAAGAAGTGCTTGAGGTCGTAGTTCCACCCTACGACAAAGGAGTAGTTCCATCCCCCAAAGACAGGATAGCGGGGCTTGAGCTCAAGATGAGCTTCACGAATGTTGCTGCGGAAGCGTGAGGTAGAAACATTGCCAATCTCGTCGGTGAAATAGGCATCCTGTGCTCCAGGGATGAGGGGGAAGGTTAGATGCTTGATGGCACTGGTGGGAGGGTTGTAGTAGCTGGTTGATGCCCATTGCACACGGGAGAAAGTGTCCTTTAGCCTAGTGACAGAGCCATTAGTGGAAATGTTCATAATAGCCGGTTTTCAGATAAACCCACTTTGCTCCCAAGTTAGTCATCCAGTAGCGCTCCTCAAAGGCAATGTTACCACCCCAATGGCTGACCTCAATGTGTCTTTCCATTCTGGTCATTTTAATTACTGGGTTTGTGTATTCAAATCGGAGGGTAATAGCTTTCCCCCCCTCCTGGTCCGGGTTAACAGTCTTGTAAGGTCCATATGTGTACCAAGCTCCAGCCCCAGTAGGGTCATCGTTCTCGCCGTTCTTCTCCAAGACGGTGAAATTCGGCACTTCACTGTTGGGAAACCTAATTTTTGTCTTTTGTTTCTCCGTAACGTATGCTGAGGCGGCGTACTGGGAACCAGTCCACTGGAGAAACTGTTTGTCGGTTTGACCGATAAGGGCGGGGACAGGAATAAGACAATCGGTCTGCGCAAGAGTAATCCACAGCTTTGCGGACTTGCCAGCGGAAAGAGGTGTGTTGAGGAGGACTCTGTAGTACTGCATCTCACTAGGGAATAGAAGTCAATCTCTAAATCGTCTATCGCGAATCAACACCCGCGGGAAAACAAACCTTTCGGGTATGAACGCGGGAGTGTTGACAATATGGGGTCCATCTTCACCCCTAGCCTCAAGGTAGCTAATATTCTCTACAATTCCCTTCGGAATAGGAACATAATACTCGGCCTGAGGCTCCTTGGAGATATTGTCAATAACCATAGCAATAGTCTCGCGAACGTAAGGCTTCGTAATGTCGATGGTCCGCAAAAGATTTGAATTCTTAAAGACCTGAGGAGGAGTGAAACCGTTCGACGGGACAGGAGTGGAATCTGCACTGGAGCATGGGGCGAGAGAAAACAGGGAGGCCAACGGCAGCAAAAGAATACCCCAATTTTGGAGAGAATACATGGTTGGAACTGCTGGTTGGTGGTTTGCGTCAGAGCGAAGACTTCGGGAATGAAGCTTCAATAGTGTTGAGCCAGGAGCTTTCTGGACTGCCGGATTGCGAGACGTGTTGCGAAGCGGTTCTAGTACTGCGTTGATACGGGTACATATGGGAACGACACTCTTGTCGGGTAATGGAGTTGACTACCGTAGTCTGCAGTCAGTTGATTCTCTACCGGTTCTGTACTCGAGTACAAGTATCATACACAAAGTGTGAAACCTACCAGTGGGCTAAACCCCAACTGAGCAGGTAAGGTTACCCGACCTTGAACTACCGGTATCTTACAAGTATCCGCCAACTAACCTTGAAAAACTTCGTCCCCCACCTTTTCTGCAAACAACCAGCAAAAATGTCGTTAGAGGTGAAATTAGAAAAAATCCGCTCTCCAAACTTGCAGAACCAACAGCAGGTCTGTCATCATGGTCCATATTTGTCTAATTCCCTATGAACACTGATACTAAATGACGGCTTTGGGACGGCTATAGGTGGCTGTGGTCCTCTCCGCTGTTGAAGACATTCTCCGAGAGCAAAAAACAGAATTCATGCCCACAGCATACTTCGCCGCATTACTTTCGTTGCTGCAGCAGGCGACATCTACGTCTGCGGTATTGAATAGAGATCTCGCGGCGTCGACAGTCTACTTGTTGGATCTTGTCACGCCGTTCGCACCTTTGCCTCTACTTCGCTCCAAGTTTCAACAGATCCTCTTGCATCTGGTACCTGCGCTTACTGCCCGTGACGCCGATGCACCATTGCTAAGGAGCAGCATTGGATGTTTAGCGAGTTTACTTGTAGCCCAGGATGGACCAGCATGGGCAATTCCCCAGCGGGACATTGGCCCTCGAAGGGCGCTGGTAGGGTTATTGACCTTGGGGCTCGACGGCCGGCCGAAAGTACGGAAGAGGGCGCATGAGGCCATCGCAGAGGTTTTGAAGAACCCCCCGCCAAGTCCGAGTTTAGATCATCCGGCAGCAGAAATATGCGCTACATTTACGCTGCAGAGCGTGGCAGACCTGGCGAAGGCGAGCGAAGAACAGAGGAGGAAGAATGGGGAACATGATCCGAGGGTTATACATTCGCTTCAGCTCATTAAAGTCGTTGTGGGCACTGGTGGCTGGCCAAGTAAGAGGGTTGAGGGATTATGCGAGGTCCTATTGGGTGTTTCAAAGGGCACCAACGAATACATAATGGGGGCGGTGTTTGGAGTATTTGAAGAGATGTTCGCCAATTTAGTAGATGGCATGGCTAGCGCAAAGCTACCGAGAGTGATTAAAGCTATTTCCGAACTAAGACCTTCGCAAAACGATTCTCAACTATTGCCCTCATGGTTGGCGGTCATCGCAAGAGGATACGAAATGTACGCTCAAGCACCAGAAGGCGAGGCATTTGTGGAGCTGCCATCCCTTTTCAAAACAGTCGCTACATTTTTAGACTCCCAAGCATACAACATCCGAACCTCCGCAGCGCAATGCTTAATATCTCTCGTGACCTCTTGTATTCCAGACAGCTCCCTCTTCGACATCACAAGATCCACCGAGAACATCTTTAAAAAGATCACCGCTACCGCAACCGACCTACTTAGCGTCCGCTTCCAAGGAGCCTGGAATCAAGTCTTCGACATCCTCAATGCCCTCTTCGACAAGCTCCGCTGGCGCTCGACCCCACTTCTTGACGAAGCCATTAAGGTCATCGGCAGTCTCCGTTCAAACGAAGGATTCCAGGGTAAGAAAGAAGCGGATGAAGTCCTCGGCCGAGCAACCCGTGCCGTGGGACCGGACTCCATCCTTTCCATCCTCCCACTCAACCTGATCAAACCCGCACCCGGAACCCCTGGCCGTGCTTGGATGTTACCAATCTTGAGAGACTGGGTTGGAAACACCAAGCTCCAGCACTTCAGGAAGGAATTCATCCCTCTCAGCGAGGCCTTGTTCCAAAAAGTGGTGGATTTCGGCGAAGAGAAGGAGAAAACTGTTGAGATTAAGATTTTTGAAACACTCGTTGGGCAGATTTGGGCGCTTTTTCCGGGGTATTGTGATTTACCATTAGACCTTACAGAGGCTTTTGATCAGTCATTCGGCGAATTAATTGCCAATGTGCTCTATCAGAAGGTTGATCTTCGGTCAGATATTTGTAAAGCCTTGCAGCGGCTCATTGACTCCAATAAGGCCGTTTTGGAGGTCCCTCTGGAAGATGATGAGGAAAATCTAGTAACACAGCGCCGGGTTTGCAAGGCTGATGCGAAGAAGAATATTGCTCACCTCGCATCCTTTTCTGGGAATATGCTAGCGGTGTTGTTCAATGTTTACAGTACGACGCTGCCGCAATATCGCGGGTTCATACTTAAGTGTCTCAACTCTTTCTTGAGCATTACTCCTGGTGCAGAACTCACCGCAACGTTTCAGAGGGTTACTTCGATACTTGAGTCAACCCTTGCTGAGCCCGCCAAGAAGAAGAGCGAAACGAACGCTGTTGGGAATGCCAGGATGCCGCCTATGTCCCACACACTCATGGATTTGGTCATCACCATTACACCATACCTACTGCCCGACAGCCACCAAACGCTTTTCACTATATTCTCCGTGACGGTTAGTCAAATTGAAGACCCACAATTGCAGAAAAAGGCGTACAAGGTCATACCAAGACTATCGGAGGCAGAATCTGGCAAGCAAGCATTGATTGAGAAGTCCGAGGATCTACAAAATTTCCTAATAGAAACTGCAGAAAAGGTTACGTCTCCTGCCAGAAGAGTAGATCTCCCTCTTTTCCTATCAACCAGGACATTCATTAACCATACAATAGGACCGCCTGATGGCCCTCTCTCAACTTGTTGAATTTCTCCCAGCCACAAACCTGCACTTCATTCCATCAATTCTTTCCGAAGTAGTCATCTCTACAAAGGAAGTCAACGAAAAAGCCCGCACAGCAGCCTTCGACCTGCTCGTCCTCATGGGCGAGAAGATGAGATCTGGGGGCACATTAATAAACAGCAAGGTAACACATATGCCCTCGGACACCCCGAATGTCACTGCAACACTCGACGAATACGTCACCATGGTCTCAGCTGGTCTTGCGGGCAGCACGCCACACATGGTCAGTGCTAGTATCACCGCTCTTACTCGCATTTTATACCAATTCAAAGGTTACACCCGTTCCTCCCCATCGCCCGAGGACGACGTACTAACGACCCAAAGATGATATGAGCAAATCCCTTATCTCAGAAATGATAACAACCTTAGACCTCTTCCTTACCAGCAAGAACCGCGAAATCGTGCGCTCGGTCCTAGGCTTTATAAAGGTGTGCATAATCTCACTCCCCAAAGAGACTATGCTGCCCCGGTTCAACTCCTTAGTCCCGAACTTGATGATCTGGAGCCACGAGCACAAAGCACACTTCAAAGCAAAGGTTAAGCACATTATAGAACGCATGGTCCGGCGTTTTAGCTATGAGGCTGTAGAAAGGCATGTCCCAGAGGAGGATAAGAAACTGGTAATTAATATCCGGAAGATGCGGGAGCGGAGGAAGAGACACAAAGATGCCGCTACCCCCAACAACGAGGAAGGTGGCGACGAGGAGGAAGTAGACACTGCAAGGAGGACAAAACGCCAGAGTAAGTTCGCCTCGGAATTCGAAGCAGCAATATATGACTCCGACTCCGACATGTCATGCGGCTCAGACACCGAAGCCAATTCCGTCCCGCGTCGGAACAAGCGCGGCAGCAAATCTGGCGAAGCATACATCCACGAGGAAGAAGATGAACCTCTCGACTTGCTCGATAGGAAATCCATGGCGAATATTTCTTCTACTAGACCACAGCGCACCCGGATTGGGGGTTCAAGGAAGTCTGCTACGCCGAATGCGAGGACTAGCAATGATGGAAAACTCATTCTCGGTGGGGAGGACAACAACGATACGGAGCGGAATGAGGGAGACGTGGATATGGGTGCTGGGCTTGCGTGCGCTGGTGGCGTGAACGCATACGTCCAGGCGGTTGCTGGCAAGGATGCGTTCGTGCGTGGCCAGCGGGGACGTGTTAAGTACTCTAATAAGAAAGGGAGACACAATGATGCTGGCGACAGTGATGGTGATAGTAACAATGGGGATGAAGAAATGGAAGTTGACATGGGGGAAAAGAGCGGGAAGGGTATCTATTCTTCAAGGGGTGGGAGTGGAAGGTTGAAGTCAGGCAAGGGGATGAGTGGACAAAAAGGGCTTGGTGTGAGGAGTGCCCGCGAGGGAAGGGTCGCAAAAAGTCCAAGGAGGAAGGGCAGGAGATAGGCTGATGTAGATCAGAAAATATGCTCATAGTTGGGTTCTATGTTTATCCCCCCGTTGGTTGTGTTTGGAGACATGAATTAGAGGTTTTTGATATTCTTGTGACTTGAGCCCTGGAGGTTTCATGAGCCGTGCTGGTTGATTAGCAGACGGGTTTGTAGACTACCGGTGCAGTATCATAAACTTATACGTAAATTTATGAAGCGAGCATCAGTCTCCTGTACCCCCCCCCCCCAAGTATTAGCACTACCTGATACACAACAGCTCCCGCACCCTCCATTCCACTTTATCCCTTTGGATTGCCCTAAATATCTCCAAATACCTCCAATCTATCCACTATCTATCCACTATCTATCTAAAACAAAATCACATGACCCAACAAATTCTTAACAGTCAGGGGGACCAGAATGAATCATTCTGGTTAAGCATCGGATTAGTGCCCTGAAGCGGGGTGCTCAGGCCCGACGCCGGGAACCGGGGGCGGGGTGAAGTGCGGTGGGGAGATATGATATATCGAACAGTATAGGCAGAGGGTAGAGAGCGATGTTCCTACGCCCCTCAACCACAGATAGGCCTCTGGTTGGCCCAGTTCTTTGTGAGCAATAGACTGGAGCATGTACCTTATCATTACATGCATGTCCTAATAACTCCTTAGGCTCCTGGTGATCTCATCACATCACCTTTGAACTATGTCAGAGATGGTTGACCTTACTTACCCTGTAACTCCATGGTTATCCACCCAATTGACTCTATTCTACTGTTCCAATATGGCCTGATGTCCCCTCTTATATATTCAGGAAACAGCTTTCAGCTCAAAAGATAGCAAAAACATATGCTAGTATGGTGCTATCAAACATGGTTTGCTTTCACCTATTTATAGTAATAGGATACCATAGTCTGGTAATCCTATTATAATGGATGGGCCCAATAGTGGGGCTAGAGGAAGAGTTTTTAACTATGAAACTTTTCTAGTTTTTAAGAGGTTTGCAAATAGGAGGACTCTGTGTATTCATATGTAGAACACTGGTAATGTCTATATGGTGATATGAGACAAAACTGGAATCTGTCACATAATCTTGGTGCAATATGAGACATGGGTGTCTGGAAGTAATAATTCTGCTCTGGAGTAAAATTGTAAACAAATTGTAAACAAACTGCTATAAGATAATACATGATAGGTTGGGTTAATACTAGGAAGCTAGATGAGTACGAAGAATGTCTACAACATGTGATTAAGGTAGTCAAACAAGTCAATAACCTAGTATTAGAACACAAAGTATCAGAAGAGTTTGATATAACCGGAGTTGGTGCTTGATTACTATGTTTTATGTTTTATATTTTGTTTTAAGTATAGGTTGATGCTTAGTTTGTTTTATGTTTTATATTAAGTATTGGTTGATACTTGATTAATTTTATGGGTTGATTGAGTAAGAATATGAGTGAGAATTCATGATCATGCTCAAACACATGTACTTAAAAAGACTGCCGTCTTCTACTCTGGAAATAGCAGACTTCAACAGAAAGTATTTTAATATACTTGGTTGAACAGTTATCTTTATATCTCCCTTCAATGAACCAGCTCTCTCGAAGCATCTCTTTGCGAGCAAGTATACAGTCTCTAGAAGACTGCCCTCACTCCTATTGTATCTAGCAGCATGATTAGTCCTCCAGTGTGAACATGTTACATTTGAGGTCAACAAGCGAACTCTGTATTGCCAAATTGCAGGAACTCATACTAGCTGACTTATTGTCTATCAGGAGCAACAGCATCCTACTTGGACAGAAGAGTCAGTAATTGTAAAATAGTCTGATAAACAATATGATAATGGGTTCCCTCCATGGCTTAATATAGTATGTGATATGGCTTTACATCTTAAACAGTGGCAGATCAGAAGAGTAATTCCTTCACTTAGAAAACATTGGATGAACTAGTTTCTAAGCCACAACCCCTCTCGTACCTCCAAGTTAAGCACCTAAATAGAGTGTCAGTACTTATATGTCCATGATCCCCACCTCATTCATGACTACTTTACTCACCTAGGAAGAATCCTAGGTTCATATAGTGGAAAAGCATGTCAGATATTCAATATAGATGAGAAGGATTTCTTATAGGTATGGCAGCAAGGACCAAGGTGTTATACAGGTGAGGATGAGATAACACTAGGGTTACTCATAATGGCAAGTAGGAGCTTTTTTTTTTTTTAACTCATATATTCGTTGTTAAGGTACAAAAACCTGCATGGAGCGCTAGCTATGGCAAAAACAAAACCTTAATTTCAGACACATTCCTTCATGCCCCAGGGACCAAAACAACCCCTCCAAGACCCTCTGGTATGGGCCTAACCACACATCCTGCCCCGCAAAGGAAAAATCGTCCCCTATAGGGAAGGCAGAAGAGAGAAGAAAACCCTTCAGTGTCATCTCGACGAAGGAAAGAATAGAACAGGAAACCCCCAAATGCCTGTACAGGCATCCGCGAACAAATATGTCCGCTGTCAGGCCCATGGTAGGACCCTGGCAAAGTGCCTTGACGGGGCTGGCCAGCTCAACCCAGGAGATAGTGCAATACCAAGGTAGGACAACCGGTCGTTCGGCTGGGGGTGGGCCGCAAGCGTGGAGGGAGGGAGACAGGCGAGGAATGCCCGCAACCTTTGATTGAGGGGGGCAGCCGATACTGCCGAGGAGGGAGGGGGCAGACCCCGGCCGTGAGGAGTCTCGTGGTGGAAAAGGTTGGATAGTGCCTGTAGTGACATCAGAGCTAGGAAAGAGTTGCAGCGCTGCTGCGAGGATGGCAGAAGTGAGAGCAGCACCAAGTGATACTGGTGTGGAGGGGAGGCGGGAGGGGTAGGCCGAGGCACTACCTCCTTAGTGATGATGGGGCCCAGAGGCCGAGGCAGTAGGGTACCAGCTGATCCTGGCAGTAGGGTGCCAGCTGATCCCGGAAGAGAGGAGAGGAAGAGGGCAAGGTAGCAAAGATCCGCTCAAACAATACGGTAGGAGGCTGCAACTAGGGTCACCGAAGTAGGCGAGGCTACTCCCGATAGCCCAGAGGACCACCATTCCATCTGACCATCCAGCTATCACCAAGGAAAGTAGGAGCTAGTAACTGTTATTAATATAGTATGTGCAAGTGGTATCACATTAGCTTCATTTAGGATCAATAAGGGAAAGGGGCAATACTTGGATTGGTACCGAAACCTTATGGAAAAAGAACATGAGTATGAATACCACTTTAGCTACTTACCCAAAGGTTGGACTGATAATGAGTTAGCCTTGAAGTAGCTGCATAGCCTATTTGATCCACGGTCAGTGGTTATTGTCAGTTTCAATCAATTCTGCCTTTTTATTTTTGATAGTTATGGCTCTCACATCACCTTCCAGTTTGTTCAGTATTGTTTGGAAAGAGATATTTACTTGCTTTGTTTACCTGCCCATTTAACATATCTACTGGAGCCCTTAGATGTGGGCTTCTTTTCACCATCTCAATATTTCTATGGTCTTGCTGTTAACAAAAATCTTTGCTCTAGGCAAAGTCTTGAAGGTATTAAGAAAGCAGTTTTAATTCCTATCCTGATGGAGGCATGCAACAATACTATGCTTCCTTCAAGTATTTAGCAAGCATTTACAATGACAGGCATTTGGCCTCTCAATTTATGCTGAGTACTAGGTAAATTATCTCACTAAACAGTGAAGGGATATGATACCATCGGTGTTGCAAAATGTTCTTGGAGTGCTTGGGATATTTGGAACCGGGTTGTCATAGGGAAACAGCTCTTAGCTATTAGTCTATTAAGTTTGGAGGAGTTGGAAGTCAAGGAAAGAAAGAGGGTTTGAGAGTGGGTTGTGGATATATTGTATGAATTTGGCCATCAGCTAGAGACTGAGATTGTGGAGAAAGAGTTACATCTAGAGTCTAGCTGTCGCCTCCAAGGAATAATGAAGTTATTTAATACAACTAATAAGTGGCAGCTGTCGGTAGCTAGAGTGCTGGATGAAACTGAGCTTCTACATTTATGTTACACATAGAAGCATAATAGGTACAGCATGTGACAAAATGCATAAGGTCACAGGTTCGACTCTGGGCCCTGTAGTAGTTATTGTGACAGTATCGTATTATCGTACAAAATGATAAGGCATCTGTGCAGCCTACTCTGGGGAGATACAAGCTGTGCAATCAAGGGGCTTTTACTGGATAACATACAAGGAGCTCCGCTCTATAAGATAAGACTAAGTTGGTTCAGATTGGTTGCTTAGTTATGGAGCTACGATCTCTGCAAGTCTATACGCTATTACAAGAAGTAATATGCATGTCCCTACAGCTCGCATGGACTAGAGTCATCTGGAAGACCAGTTCATGATTGGTTAATAACAACTCACTAGTTGAGTTAGTTATCTTTGTCATGCACTCTAAGCTATGTACAGAGAGGAGGTATTGATAAGTCCTTTGATGGAGCTGATTACTCCACTCAGAAAGAGAGCGGGGAAGTTAGTTTTCAGGGTCAAACAGAGTTCGTACTCCACAGACACTGAATGGTTAGTATGGTCGATATATAGTCAGTAAGGGATTGGATGTAGGCTGCAACCACTGAGACATGGAATATAAATATCGAGGCGCCTCCCTAGCGTTAAGCCACGCTCCACGCCCTCTACATTCCTCTCGCTTAAAAACATTACCGCATTCGGCCAGGCAAAACTCCAGGGTTTTGTGTGGCAACCATCTCCAGACACCTAATTCCTTCCCTCGCTTAGGCTTCAGTCTCTAAGTGTACAGCCACCTAACTAGCCCACACAGGCCCCTTCGTCATGGAGGGGTCTGGTCCGAGACCTTCAAGGTCTGGCTCCTGAGCCTCCAGCCGTGCATCGCCCTATGAGTCAAGGGTACCAACTCTCTCTCTTCCCGCTCATCTTTCTCTGATAAGAGAAGAACTAGCCCGCACTCTCCGCCATATTGGAAGGGCAGCCCCTCTGCTTTCCCCCCCAACCAATTCTCAGCTTCAAGACATGTCTGCCAGCGAAGTCATCCTCCTACCACTACTCTGCACTGCCTACTCTGGGATCAGCAGCATCATCCAAAGGCTAGAGGCCCTTGAGCAGTCTTCCGCAGC